AAATGAGGTAATTAAGGAGTCCGACGGCACACTGACCCATATTCAGCAACGCCGCCTAGATCGATGGGCAGAACATTTCAAGGCTCAGTTCAGCTGGCCCTCGTCAGCACAAGACCTCCCTACACCCGATTCAACTGTGCAAATAATACCATTTGACATTAGTCCTCCATCTGAAATAGAGGTTACCCGAGAAATAAGCTATCTCAAAAGGCATGAGGCTTCCGGCCCCGACGGACTGTCCCCATCGTTTTTTAAGGATGAAGGTCCAGCCTTGGTTTCGGAGTTAACAAAACTCCTGGGTTAAGTGTGGGAGGGAAGAGGTTCCAACTGAATGATGTGAATCGCTCATCTTGCCGATTTACAAAAAGAACGACAGGTCCTCTCGTGGAAACCACAGAGGAATACGTTTAATTAGCATTGCCTCAAAACTCCTCGCCGGCATCGTACTCCGTCGATTGTCNAGTGCACACGTGAGAACCAGGCTGGTTTTAGACCTGGTCGAGGTTGTATCGACCACATCTTCACTTTTCGTCAAATCCTAGAACACAGACACTCTTTTCGTAGACCCACCATTTCCATCTTCCTCGACCTGAGTCTGGTGGGGACACCGGACGAGCAATGCTGAGGTTAGGTGTAGAGTTTAAGGTAATCGCGGTCGTCCGCTGGAACACGTAGTCGACCTCCATAGGTTACGCTGGTTGGGACATGTGCTACGCATGTCACCAGATAGGTTGCCACGGCGAGCGATGCTTGGCGAGGCAGGTAGTGGTTGGAAAAAATTAAGGGCGGTCGAGCTAAGACCTGGCTTGAGGGTATGAAAACCCTGACCAGTAGGCTGGCTCACATAGGCCCCGTTAAGCTCCTTGGCTGAGGACACAGAGATCATAGCCCCGATGGTTAGAGACACTGAGTGTTATGGCTGGGTGTCGCAAACAGTGGGCGTCAATGCATCTACTCATTATTCTTGTAACTTCAGTCTATGAAAATGTGCTACCTTCCGCTTGAATCTCCTGTCAACATTTTAATCTTCATTCTGCGGTTTTGTCCAAATGGGGCACCAAAAGACAGCAACCAAAACCGGCGCACGAAAGTGCACGGCTAATGGTTGTAAGAACTGAACTGAGCTGAATAGTGGGATTCGAAGTGTATAGAGCAAATGAAGTGCAACCCATCTTTGTACGTATGTGTGTGACTTTTATGTATGACTTTGAATAAGCATAAGCTTTCAAAGTGGGAATTCGTCGTGTATGGAGCAAATTAGGCGTGAACTGAAAGTTAGGTAGCCCTGCGGAGCTGAGCCGACCTGGTTGGGTCTCATCGGCAGTGCGAATTCAGAGAAAAAACTGGAGATCGAATCCACAACACCAAAGGTGGAATGCAAACAGATTACCCACTCTATCACCGGGCACTTGATCACACAGCTTATCTTTTTTCATTTTTCAGTTCACGCTTCATTTGCTCGGTACACGAAGAAATCCACTAGATAAAACGATTGGAATGGTTAATTTTACTTATAGACTACATGATATAACTCACTGTTGAAGTTCTGTCACGAGCGCATATTCTCATTTATCTAAGCATTAATATCAGCGGTTTATGATTCGCCTGGAAATATTCTGAATCTGGCCTATACAGAGGGGAACAATGGATAATTTAATTTGGTAAAGGATCGAGGGAAACGAGTAAGGTACGTGCTCAAACGTTTTACTGAGGAGATTGGCAACATTCGCCAACGAACGCATCAAACTACTGACAGATAAAGCGAGAAATGTTAGCAATTGGACGGGAAAACAAGAGGAACACTCAGCTCTTAACGATAAACCAAATCCAAATGAGATCAGAAGATACGAGAGCGTTCATAAAGATGCACTAACCTGATAAATATCACCTTCCTTGGTACAATTGATCACGTCACCCGGGTTCGGCGTATGAACAAGAGCACGATCCA